TTATTTCTTAGAGATTATGAAGTGGTGAGTTTTGTAATGACATAATTGCTTCTGCATTGCACAGTTGAAATTCTTATATGAGGAAAAACTTCCCCTTACCAACTACTCTGAAATACAGTTGACAAAGGGAAGTCAGGATAAATACTTGATTCTTTTCCTTTATCAATATACAGACTAATAAGGTGATGTCCTAAGAACCTCCAAAGGTAACTTTTTTTACTTCATTATGAATTCATGAATTTTTACATATTTGAGTGACAGCTCAAGTCATTTTTCTATTGTGCAAAATATAAATAAGCACTCATTTTTAGGTCTATATAAGACAGTAAGAATGAATATCTCTTTAAGAATGATGCACCTATTGCAAAAATTTATGGAGACACTAACTCTTGGTTTGTGCTTGTGCTAATTTGTATTTGTAAAACAACAAATTACCTTTGTTCCTCTCTTGTATCACTCTCATTTTAGGATTTGGTATGCATTTTGCTGTGGGTCTTTTTGTTTTTAATCTTATAAGCTGAAGTTTATTAGTGCTGGGAGTTTAGAAGGGTTATAACATAATTTGTGAAAGTACAATCAATAATCCAGATACATTCCGCTTCCTCATAAAGTGAAGGGTAAGCTTCTTTCACCTTTATTGCCAGTATTATACCCTAAAATGTTCCTGCCAATTTGCAGCAATAGCATTTCATTTGCATTTCTTGCTAACTGCTTAGTCTATACAAGACATTTAGCAATATACCAAATTGTGAAACACTCATTGTCATTAAAGTGCACAAATAATTTACCTTATTCAGGTTCTTTTCCTATGCAAGGACATTTTGTGTCCAAAAAGAAAAAATAGTAAGTCAGTCCTCAATTAGAAAATTGTTTCTTTCAAATTCATGGAATACACAGGATAAATACAAAAACATAAATTTAATTTACTTGACTTCTTTACTCTATTGACAGCCAGTTGTTTATATTGTGATTTTTATGGAAGTGGATATGTACCACTTAACTCTTGGCAGATTTATCTGGCAACAATTTCACTTACACTTCTAAGCTCTTTCTTGTAACTCGAATTGCCTTTTATACTAGGTTGCACTAATTATATCTAGAAGTCATCATATTCAAAGTTATATATTTATTAACTTATACCTATAGTCAGTAGATGGTGGTAAATCACCTTTGAACCTAATTTATTATATTTTATTGGATGGTTATGCATTTAATGTCGGCTTATTTGTCTGAACATTGGAGTTTTTTCCTAAGTTGTTTGAAAAAGTGTTGTTTTCTCACCTTACAAATGTAGAAGTTAATTGTATGAAGTGTGGAGTTTAGGATTTATGACACTGAAGTGTTCTTAGCTGCCTTTAGGGGAAGTTCTGATTTAATTTTACAATATAAAACTATGCTTACCTTTTTGTTTAAATTCTAGTCTCAGTTCTTTTTTAGGTATTTCCTTAAAAATAAGTATTTTCAGGTGATAGGTGAGGAAATTAATCATCTGGCTAAGCATCTAAGCATCTGTTATTTTATGACATTGAATATTCTTCAGCCCCTGCAGTCAGTTACTTCTGAGCGAGAGTCTGGCATTTTGTTATACAAACAATTGTGGTGTAATGTCCTTTTATTACTCAACAAAATTTAGGCCTGATTTTTTTCAAAAGCTTCATTTAAATTATTGTCTCCTTTTCAATTATTTCTTTATCTGTACAAGGGAAACAACAGGCCCATAAGCTTATCTTTTTAAATATCAAAATTCTTTAATAAAGGCTGGAGGCATGGCTCAAGTGGTACAGTGCTTGCCCAACAAGTTTGCTTAGTTTAAACACCAGTACTACCAAGAAACAAAAAAAATAATAATTTTAATGAAAATATTTTGATGTAAAATACATTTTCCTAAGTATTGTACAATAATATAATAAGACTCTGTCATATTGACTCAAGATTGCTAAAATGTTCAATTATTTTACTAAGCTTTAATATTACAAAGTCTTCAGGAACTACTGAGATACATTATTCATGTGATGAGTCTCATACCACTTTTTTATTATTGTTAGTAGGCCATTGATTCTAATCTACTGCTTTGTGTCATACATAATTGTATAGTTAGTTATTTCCAATCCTCCCTCCCTCCCTTCCTCCTTTTCTTCCTTCCTTCCACTTTTTTTCCAAATGAAATCTTACATGTTCAAATATGTAAAACGAATGAATGTAGATTTGTGCTATAAAAGTGAAACAAGGGGTCTGGAGCTCTGCTGCCAAACCTCTATTCCCAGCTGCAGTGTAAAACACTAAGTTATCTGACAGAACCTTAGGCCACCAGCTATAGTTTAATGTCACTAATCTAGCCTAAGAGTGACTTCCTGTATTCTGAGGGATAAAATATTTTTGAAAAATGTCATCTTGTATGTATTATATACAGAGGGCAACAAGAATAGATATATGATCTCATTACACACCTATTAGTAAAACAAAACCAGAAGTACGATACACATAAGGTTCGAAAATTCAAACAATGTACAGAAACTAAAGTGAAAAGAAATGTTATCAGTGTTCTGTATACCTTATCAAGACTTTCTCAAAAGTAACCACTTTTTTTTCTACAATACTAGGTTTGAATTATGCCCACAACCCTTTTAGCTTTAGTTTATTTTTCAGACACAATATCAAACTTTTGCCAGGGCCAACCCTATTTCCATCTCATGAGTTGCTGGGATTACAGGCACATTCACTGTGCCTAGCTTTTAAAGGTAACCACTGTTAAATTACTTGTGATTCCTCTCAATGTGTTTATAAGCATGTATGTCTACATGCACATGCATATACATGTGAATAAGATTTTTTAAAAGGATTTTATATATACATAAGAGGTCACTCTATATTTGTTATTTACTCTTTCTTTTTTATTTAATAATATGTTGGCATTCATTTTATTCACTTATTTCTGAGATGGGCTTTTACTATGTTGCCTAGGTTCATCTTAAACTCCTAGATTTAAGTGCTCTTCCCACCTCAGCCTTCCGCATAGCTAGGACTGCAGGTACATGGCAGCATGCCCAGTTAGTCTTTTTTAAAACTGTATTTTTAGTTTTGCTTAACTTGTTATGTTATCCAAACTAACTTCAAGTCCACAAAAAGTTAAAATCTATACAACTATGTTTCTAGTGTCTGTGTCTCAGCATAATGAGGCATTTTCCATGGGAAACATGGTAGTAAAATGGTCAGTCTTCCCATAAACATCATTTATTTCACAGTATATCCAATAGAACATTACCCTCAAAATAATGTCAAAAATAGCAATTCACATAGCTACTGATCACTAGAAGAGAACTTAGCCACCATGTAAACAATGTTTCTATGGAAAAATGTATTTGGAATTCCAACTTGGAACCAGAAATACCTTTCTAAAGGTAGTACAGCACGGTGAGAAAAGTAGGGATTTTATATGCAAAAGAGCTGAATTTTATTCCTGGCACTGTCATTAAGCAAAATTTTGAACATTTCTCAGTTTGCTCTATGGATCAAATGTAGTAATCAGGCACTAGCAGATACTGTTAAGTTCCTTTCCATTTCCCTACAGGAGGAATTCTTGATCCGCCTGAAACCCATAATGAGCTAGAGAGGAGGGATGGGATAAGGAATAGATAATGAAGGACTAGAGATTTGGGGAGAAAAGGGATGATGCAGGTATTCTTTATAGTCAGAATAGTCAAGGGACCTAGCTTATTGATTCCAGCTAATATCTAACCATCTTTATTTTGCACTTATGGGAACTGGAATTAGCCATCTCTTTTGTGTTGTATTTCTACACCTGTTCCTTTCAGAGTCCTTCCCTCTACTCTTTCTCTAGCCATCCTGGAAAAAAAAAAAAAGAATTCAGTCCACTTCCCACTCTGCTCAAAGATTTAAAAACAAAACAACAGCAACAAAACAAAACTCTGATGTCAAAGCAAATGCCAAACACCTAGAGATTGACATCCGGGACGATAAAATGAGGACCTCAGTGAACCCACTCTCCCTTTAAAGTAGCAAAATACAGGAAAATTAAAATTAACTAGCTCAGAACTCTGGAAGAATTAACTGAAAATTTAAGAGAAACTAAATCTAGGAGAAACTCCTGAATATTGATAAAAACCAGTACCTCAGGTAGAATATTAGCCCCAACATCACACAATTACTGAAAACACCAAATTTCAATCCTGTCCTTACTGAGATTAAGTCCATCCTTTTTTTTTCCTAAACCATAACTAATTCTACTTACAGTAATTAAATTGTCTAATATGGAAACAGCAACAATACACCCATGGCCCAAAGTTATTTATCTGAAAAAACTTGCCAAAACCAACATTTCTAATTTATACATGGAAGATACTACATTATTAGTAATCAAACTGTTTTACACCTTGTTCCAATCAGTGTTTTATACTTTCATGAAGTTATTACATAATAAATTTTCTTACAAAGAATAACAGTAAAGGCAAAATTCTAGCAAGTCAACAAGTGACAACGTTGAAATTGTTCAAAAAATAATTTACATTGAACCTTAACCTGTATAGTACATTCATCAAAGGATGACTACTACTCATTACTCTATATTAGTATCAGCTGTCCCATGTACCTAGATGCTTCAGAGTATCCCTTCTTCAAAGCATCAATCCTCTAGTTATAATGTCTTTCTTTCTTTCTTCCTCTGATTTCAAAAAAGTATTTTAGAAATAAATCTTAGAGCTGGGGGAAGAGTGCATGAGGCACTAAGTTCAATCACAGGCTTCCCACAATCAATCAAGCAAGCAAAAATAAATGAATCTAAACAATACAATCATACTATACTATAAATTTATGGGATCATAAGCGTATGTTTTGGGTTGCAGTATTAAAACAGACTTACTTGAATTTTACTTTTAAAACATTAAAATATCAAAAGAGCTAACAATGACTGATTAATTTGTATTAAATTGCATGAAGAAAAAGAGTAATCATTGATACACGTTTTGTGTAGTATAAAACCCTACCTTAGGAGAAGTAGAGAGATCTCTTCCTTCAGAAACAGCTGTGTTCTCATTTACTCCTCCTGTCTTTGGTGAAAGGATTGGTGGAACAGGGGCCTTTCTTTTCACTCTTCTTTCAGTTTCTACTTCTTGAACCATATTTACCAAATTATTTGGAGAACTTGGTTTTGGTTCATAAAAAGGATTTGATCTAAATGAAAGAAGAATTATTATTGCCTCTCAAACATAGTTTTTTTCTAATTATAATAATAAAACATGTACTGAAAACTATAATGTTTTCCCCAAATAAATCCAAACCATTGAAACCTACCATTCAGAATCAATGACTTCTAATTTTTTGGCCTATTTCTATCCAGATTTAAATAAAAATTCCCCCTTTGAAAAAGTACTTAAAATTACCGAAACATAAGGTCATGCTCAGTTTGAACAGAATAATACAGCCTTAGGAAAATGTAATGTAAGGGAACCCTATCTATTTTCTTCACACTCAGGGAAAGGAAATAAGATAAGAAAATGTTGACTTATTTCCTTTTTCATGCTTCCCTCCCCCCCCCTTTTTTTTTCCTTCTTGCATTTCATCCTTACTTCTGTGTAAAATTTCCTTGTCATTATGGAACATCTTCATTCAGAAAAGTTCTGTAAACAATAAATTCTCCCAGGCTTTGAAATTATCTTTATTTCAGCCTTTAGCTGGACAGAGAATTCTAGTTGTCAGTTGTTCTATCTCAGTGCATTAAAAAATATTAACCCACTATCAGCCTCATGTTGCTCCTGTTTTCATACTCCTTGTATTTCCTAAGTCTGATGAGTCACATGTTTTATCAGTTCTGAAAAATTACCAGCCATTATCTCTTTGATAGTCTCTTCTCCATTTTCCATATTCTCTTCTTCAGAAAAATCTTATTATATATGGAACAACCCATTTGTCTTCTTAATCTCTTCATATTTTTACAAGTCTTTATTTCTTCTGTGCCTCATTCTAGATAATTCCCTCACATCTCTGGTCCAGCTTATGTTTTCTCTGTTTTATCTGTGGCTAATTAAAGTTCAATTATCCACGAGTTTTTAGTTTTAATAAGTCTATTATGTGTCTGTGTGTATGATATCTCAAAGATTTAAGTTATTATTAAACATATTTATAGTTTCCATATGACTAATCCATTGGTTAAAGTTCTTGCATAGTAGTCCTGCTATTTCTTTTGTTTCTTGATTCTTTCTCTTAGTAAACTGCTTTCTTTTGTGTTTTATAATTCTAGTTTGTGAGTTCAGGGCCTAACCTAAGGAGATCTTATGTAGTGGGAGATGGAAGTGCCTCCTTACAGAGTATTTTACATTTGCATTTGCAAAGTACTTTGGGAGTCACTTCTTGGCTTAGGGGTTCCCAGACAATACTGCCGACATGTCAAATCCACATGAGTAAAGGCCTGTCCTTAAAATTCTCAAAGGCTTATTTCCTCCTTTATCGAGAGTAAAATCCAGGCCCTGGACCTTATTAACTTCCTATATTAGTAGGTAGATAATTTTTTTCTAGTTATTTTTCCATTAACTTAAGTATCTGATATCTATGATTATTCTGCATATTGCATAGCAATAGTTATTTATTACTTTGTTGCAGTATTTTCTTCCCCAAACCAGTAGGTTCCTTGGAGTCCATATCCCATGTGCTTAATAACAACAGAATTTCTCAGTCTACATAGCTAAGGACCAGACCACTCAAACATACTGATTATACCAAGGGAATGTTATATAGTTATGTAAGGCTTCTGTTATAACTGTACATGTTCTTTGAACTACAAGAGTCTCAGACTTTGCTACAACTAATAACTAATTATCTGTAGCTATGCCTAAGGATTTATAGACAACCAAAGTACAAGGCTCTGTGCACTAAATAAGTATATATATCTAGACCACAGAAGGGACTATATCAGTTGCTATGCAATTTGCACTCTTGTACTCATGGCAATATAAATGCATGTGACTCCTTCCTGCTGAGCTGGGGTGCAGCCATAGAATCTCTTTGAACACAGTACCCAGGATAATTGCTTTTAACTAAGTGGAATTGGCATCTACAAGGAAACTGATTTGGTATTCATCTTCTGATGACTCTTCAAGAAAAAAAGAACAGGAAATATATATTTGAAAATCAGCCTTTTGGACCAATATATTCTTGTCTAATAATTCAGAAGATATATTTATACTCCATGTTTACCACCTGTAGGAAAACTTGGGGAAACCAAAGTGAAAAATAATGTTAAAATAACTAGTTGTTCAGAAAAAGTTAAAACATGCTCTCTAAAAAGAGGCAGAAAAGTGATCACTTTCAGTCTCAAATGGAGAACTTGTCAATAATATTAACTAACACTTATTGTTTATACTGTGCTAGACACTGTTTTAAGTGCTTCACGTATATTAATCAATTCATTCCTTACAATAATCTTGTTTTCCTGTAAATTTTATCAAGAACTTTGCTTTGCTACTTTTCAAAGTCTAAAAGTAGTTAGAAGGGAGGTTTAAAAAAATTTTTTTTTGTGGTACTAGGGTTTGAACTTAGGGTCTTCACCTTGAGCCACTCTGCCAGCCTTTTTTATGATGGGTGTTTTCAAGATAAGAGTTTCGTGAACTATTTCCTCGGTCTGGCTTTGAACGATGATCCTCCTGATCTCTGCCTCCTGAGTAGCTAGGATTATAGGCGTGAGCAAAAACCTTTTTATGTTTCAAAACTTACTTGCCTACTGATATTAAATGTCTCAGAGTTGAGACACTGAATTAATTCAGTTATGTAAATTATTGGGGGAGGCATTTAAAGAATTATTCTTGGTTAACAAATTTCCATATTATTTTGTAAGATGGTAGCTCTGTAATAATCATTTCACTGTTAATTTTCTGTGTAGGTATGGACTGTTATAAAATCAACCAGTTTTGTTACAGGGTGGATGATTTATATAACAAAAAAGATGTGCTTAACAGAAAAAAAAACAGAATTCCTATAAACAAGCAATTCTTCAGTACACTTCTGACTGTAAAAAAACTTTTGTAAAACTTATCTAGCATGTATAGCAAGGTATTTCAATATTGTCTTTTTACTTTGAGTCTGTTTTTCTGCTTCTACCCAGTTATGTCTCCATTTAACCACTTGAATAATGGTATTTTTTGTATCCAGAAGGTAAACACTAGTATAAGAGAAATTCAGGTTAATTGATTCTCAAAGTTGGTTCCTAAGAATCATATTACTAGAAACATAAACAGACATTTTCTTGAGCCAATTAGAATTGTGTTTCTCAATCTTTTTCATACTACTACTGCATTGAAAAATGAAGTTTGTATGACATGCTAGAGTAAACAAAGGAAGCTGCTAAAAACTGGCGGTATCAGAGACTCCAGCTGCCCTTGACCATGCCTGGACACCAAAAGACAAAGAAAATCAGTATCTCCACACACTGTAATGCATTTGTGAAACAGCAGTGTGCTGGTCAGGTACTAAATCAGAATAAGGACAAGAAACCTCTATTTCTATGAGCTTTGAATGATCCTTCCCCCTCCCGATGTAAGATCCCAAACTAAAACTGAATTCCCTATTCTTCAAAAATGAACTATGTTTCCATTTACATGAACTATCTAAAATAGTTAAATCCACAGTGATAACTAGTAGAGTAAGTGGGTGAATTGAGACTATTAGTCAGTATGAGGTTCCTTTTCGTAGTTGTGAAAATGTTCTAGTATTAGACATAGTCATACAACATAATGAACACACTAAGAATTACTGAAAGATACATTTATAAGTGTGTAACTTTGTTACATGAAGTATGTATATCTCAATTTTAAAAGTGCTGTTAAGAAAACATGAACAGGAATAATGCCAATATTTGGACAGTATTATGTGAATATTTATCCCTTTTTCTAAACAATGAAAAGGAATTATATAATTAATGGTTAATACATTTAAAATCCATGCAATCAACAAGTGACTGCATATACTGTGGTGGACCCATAAGATTATATCATGTAGTGATGCTGTAGCTATCTTGGTTTGTGAAATATACTCTATGATATTCATTCAACATAACTGGCTAATAAAGCATTTCTTAGACCATACCTCCATAATTAAGCAACACATGACTACTATCTAAAATGGTATTTCATGGAAGGAAAAACTGTGTAAGGAATTAGCACAATTTCCACATTTTTTTCTGTTGATCACCTATGATTTGAATAATCTATTTCAGGACTTTTCACATTACTGAATAAGCAAGAATTATTTTTATCTTTGTATTATGTACTTGACTAATAGATTAGTTATATTATTAACGTACTGCTAATTCAAAACTCAGTATATTTATATTAGTTATATTAAGGAAGTAGAAAATTGGACCACGTAATTTTAAATGACATTATTTATTATCTGGAAATTCATCTAGGAAAACAAATTATAGACAAACCAAAGGTGGTTAGTTGGAAGCAGAATTAATTAAAACATACTGAAAACGTAATGCAATGTGAAGCAAGTATATAATGAAATCTGTAGTCTTTTCCTTTCACCTTGAAAATCTGTTTCATTTGAAAAACAATTCAAATTCATTAAAATGGACATGCAGATTCTTTGAGTAAAATTTGATTAGAGGCTTCCTTGAGAAATGGACACACAGCAATACCAGATATAATTGCACAAGGGCTCTCAAAGTTGCTTCATAAGTGTTGTAGTATTATTGCTTTACCAGTCTTCACTTTGCCACATAAACTAGAATAATGAACTATTTGCCAAGAAAACCAAGAAACCCAGTGCAGTTGCTAAGCGTAAAAGATGTCCTTAAAAAGCAGGGAAGATGTAGACTTTCTCTTGGTGCAAATGCATATGCTGGTGCTAAAGATTGTTTTGCACATGAAAGGATTCAGTACTATTTATTTGTGACAATTTTATGTCGGAGGATACAAGAAGAGTTTGGTAATAGATGAGTCACAGAAGTTTTTCACTTAGTGAAAAGTCCTAACCTTATTATTAAAGTAAGAATAAATATTGGAAAATTTCTGCCACTGACAGAGTACCTACAAACTTTGGGAGAGACAAAACTGAGACATACCAAATCAATAATTAACACAAACCAAGTTCTTCCTGGAGTTACTGATATGCAATCAAATAAATCTTATGTTTATTTCTACAAAAAAAGACTGAAGTGTTTACAGGCCCCTTCTGAT